GGTGATTCTTATATGGCTAAAAAGGTGGATTTTCTGCCCTCTATGGGGGGCCCTCGCAGGGTGAGGAGGAGGAGGAGGAGGAGGAGGAGGAGGAGGAGGAGGAGGAGGAGGAGGAAGAGGAGGAGGAGGGTTTTCTGCCCTCTACAGAGGGCCCTCGCAGCGTCTTGGGGGGGGGGGGTCGGCGCAGCGGGTGGGGAGGCCGAGGGGTCCCACGCGTGGCCCGCCCACGTGCGGGGGCGGGGGCGGCTGGTCGGCCCCTCCGCCCTGGCGCAAGGCACGGCGGAGGGGCTCCGCGGGAGCTGGCGGAGGCGGTACCGGCGGCCCGGATCAGTGGGTCGACCCTGCCAGGTCAAGGGCACCCTCGTGCCCTGGGCCTTGCGACCCATGCCTCCTGCATTCCTGTGGCAACGTGGCCCTCGGAGGGGACTTGTGTCCTCTCGCGCGCCCTCTCCATTCGAGTCCGACTGTGGCGGAGAGAGGCGACCGTCGGCAGGAGCTGGTGGAAGCTGGGCGGACACAGGGGGACACTGGCCGTCCTGGGGCCGCTAAGGACTGACTCCACTGGCACAGGAGCTGCAGCGTTTTTGGCTCCAAAAAGCTCCCCCCACGTTTTTGCCGCGCCAGCAGGGCAGGCACTGGTTGTCGGGGGGAGTCGCCGCGATCCATCGTGCGGGAGGGGTCACCATTTTTAAGCCCGCCGATGGCATGGGCGCCTTTCTGCGCCCAAGCGTCGTCGTCAACTTCGTCGGCGTCGAATCAGGAAAAAAAAACAATACCACAAACTGTCGGAGTTCCGCACGATGGGCCTGTTTTCCACCACCACCACCGTAAGTTGGTGGGGGGAAGGAGGTGGAGGACGAGGAGGAGGATGATGATGATGATGATGATGAGGAGGAGGAGGAGGAGGAGGAGGAGGAGGAGGAGGAGGACCCCCTCCCCCTCCAACTTATGGTGGTGGTGGTGGTGGAAAACAGGCCCACCACAGCACGGACTTCTTGGGTCTGCGCTGGACCCCCTGGCGGCGCCCGGCGCCGCCCCCTCGGCGCGCTCTCCGCGCGCCGAGCCGAGAAGTCCGCGCGGAGCTCCGAAGGCTTTGCCGCCTGTTTTTTGTTGGTGTTGTGTGTTTAAACATGTTGTACTTATTTATTTGTTTGTTTTTCTTCTGTTATTTATTTATCTTTTGCCATGTAATATTACTATTGTTCGTCCTTTCTCATTATTCTTATTATTACTCGTATTATTATTCTAATTATTCGTATGCATGCATGCATGCATGCATGCATGTATGTATGTATGTATGTATGTATGTATGTATGTCCGTATATGTGTATGTGTAGGTGTAGGTGTAGGTGTAGGTGCATGTATATGTATGTATATATATATGCATGTGTATATGTACGTGTAGGTGTACATGTATATGCATATGTATACGCATATGCACATGTATATGCATATGTATATGTATATGTACATGTATAGGCATGCGTATGTGTATATATATATATATATGTATATGTATATGTATATGCATATGCATATGTATATATATATGTATATGTATATGTATATGTATATGTACATGCATATGTACATGCACATGTATATGTATATGTATATATATATATATGTATGTGCATATGTTTTTAGGTATATGTAAATATATATATGTATATGGTTACGTCTATGCATATGCCGATGTGTATGTACATGTCTATGTATATGTATACGTATATATATATATGTCTATATCTATGTATACACATATATAGATATATGTATGTATATGTATATGTTTATGTATGTATGTCTGTCTGTCTGTCTGTCTGTCTGTCTGTCTGTCTGTCTGTCTGTCTGTCTGTCTGTATGTATGTATGTATGTATGTATGTATGTATGTATGTATGTGAGTGTATATATATATATATATATATATATATATATATATTCCTATATTTTTATAAGCCCGGGCGGGGGGAAAACCCGTCCCCCCCCCTAAAACCAGACCCCCGGAATCTGCAGCTTTGGGACCCTCCGGACGGGCCTCGAAGCGGCCCCCTGGGCCTCGCAGGGCGTTTTGCCAAGCCTTCGCAGCACACCCAGGGCGATCAGGGGGGTCACCGGAGACGTCCCAGAGACCTCCAAGACAGCACAAGAGCGCTCCAAGAAGCCGTCATACCCCGAAAGATCGTTCCAAAACGTACCAAGAGGCCTCCAAGAGCACCCCCAAGAAGGCCCCAAGAGGGAAACATCATTGATTCTATGTAGGTTTTTGGTGCATTTGGGGTTCTCCTCTTTTCGGCTTCCCGACGCTCCAAGACGGCGGTCTCCTAGGCGTCCGAAGCCGCCTGGGAGGCTCTAAAATCGCCCCACAACCATCCGAAAGGGCTTCCAGGCAGTCCAAGAGAGCCCCAAACGGCACAAGAGGGGTCCAAAATGGCCCTAAGAGAGCACCATAGCGGCCTAAGATGGCCCCTAAGACACCCTCCGAAGTATTCCAAATCATGACTGGGGCGTTCAGGGAGACCGCGGTTAGAGGCAGGTTGGCCTCAGGAAGCCCCAGAGGCCCCCAGAACACGCCCAGGAGGCCTCCAGAAGGCCTTAAGAAAGCCTGAGAACTTTAGTGAGGCCCCCAGAGGCTCTCCAAGGAGGAGCCCTCGCAAAAAGAGCTGAGGAGGATGGGGAGAATGCCCAGGGTATGGCGAGAATGAGGAAAAATAAGCATGGAGGAAGGACAACGAACAACATTATTACCACGGCTATTCCAGAAAAGGCAGCAAGGAGTTCTCGCTACATTGTCGGCTTGACCTTCCTGCCGCCTGCATGCCAAACTTCAAGGACCAAGGTGCATGGCGCGAAGCGCCACTGCAGTCTTGTATATATATATATATATATATATATCACGCCCCAGCCCAGCCCTCAACCCAGCCCAGCCCTCCCGCGGTTCGTTATTCCCCAATCTTTCCGAGGAGGAAGAGGTACCCATACCTCTACCCTTCCCCCGTCTTCCCCTTTGCGGGCCTCCTCGGCGGCCCCCGTCGCCACCGCTGGATTCGGCCCACAATTCTTTTAGGCAAGGTGTTCACGCCCCAGCCCAGTCCTCCAGCGATTCGTTCTTCTCCAATCCTTCCTCTACCCTTCCCCCGTCTTCCCCTTTTCGGGCCTCCTCGGCGGCCCTCGTCGCCACCGTTGGATTCGCCTCGCGATTCTGATCAGAATGTAGCCCGGGAGAGGTCCAGGGAGTAGCAGTAACAGTGTCGGTACCTTTCGGTCTCCCCAATCCTGGCGTGTGTCGGCCAGTTGCAGGCCGTCTCCACGCTCTCATCCATTTGCCATGCCGAGCCACGTTGAGCTTCGCGCGGCTGTGCAAATGCGACGCTTGGACATGCCAAGTCAAGCCATGCTGAGCTGCTCTGAACGAGCCCCGGGGTGCATCGAGCAATGCTGAGCGCAGCCTTGCCGACGTGGTGCCAGGACGTGCCGGGACGTCTACGTGCTATGCCCACTTGGGGTGACACGGTTTGGCGCTCTCCAGAAAAGGCCTCGCTTTGGAGGGGCCGAAAGAATTGACATCTCTTCATGGGCGTAAGGCCTGCGTAAGGCTGGCACGAGCAAGCCGGGGACGGCTCCGTCCGCCGGAAATGCCAAAGTTTTTTTGGGGCTTCGGGGCTTGCAGAACCCGCCATATGCAGTCAACCGGGGCCTCCCAAATTGGGGTCCGAGTAGATGCGAGCGGGGGAACTCGCCGCATCACTGACGCATCGGCGATGCGGCTCGATGTGGAGCCCGATTTTCTCCGCGCCGACGGCGCCGACGAATCGCCGACGTCGCCGATGCATCTGCGATGCATCATCTGCGATGCATCGGCGATGCTTCGGCGATGCTTCGGCGATACGGCGCAATCCTCAGACCCGATCTACTCGGACCTCCTTTGGGAGGCCTCCAGTCAAGACGCTGAGATAAGGGACAGTTCGGGTTCGGAATGGGCTCGCTATTCCCCAGGCCCTTCGACGGCTATTCCTCCAGCGCTTCTCGTGGACCCCGACGCTGCTGGGGCCCAAGAGGGTCTTCGCTCCTTATTTTTGGGGACCCCAAATGTGCCGATACCGCTTCTCCCCGGACCTCTCCATAGAGGCGTTCTGACCAGGAATTCGAGGCGAATCCAGCCGTGGCGACGAGGGCCTCCCAGAAGGCCCCCAAAGGCGAAAATGAGAGAAGGGCATCCGTAAGCATCGGTACCTACCTCTCCGATTTTTGGCGTTCCTCATGGTAGCGACTGCAGCATACTGTTGCGGTTTAGTCTAGTCCTTCAGGGGCAACGTCAGTATGCTCAGGGGGGGATGCATCGACCCCCGATCGCCCATTCATCGCCGATAGGGGCCTGACAGCCCGCCTCGCCCAGAAACGCGCGGATCCGCTATCGGGGGCCCGTCGCCGTTGACAGCTCGATGTTCCCCATGAGCTGGTTCTCCGCTAACTTTCCCCGTCAGATCCTCCTGGCCCTCTCGAGCGGGGCTAGGTCGGGGATGAAGCCGAGCATGCCGGAACGCTGAGAGAAGGCGCGGCGCCCCATACGTCAGCAGAACCGCCGGATCTCAGAGGTCATCGCTGTATTCTTGTCCGATTTCGTCCCTGTTGGAATGACCGCGGGGTTGCTGACGGGATGGGGGGTTATACGCGGATGCTACGGTGGGATATGTCTGGCGTGAGCTAACATCTATGTGATCACAAGTGCCCCAAGTGGGCGCAGCCTTTAGTCCAGCTCGTAAGCCACGCAGGGCACCTCTCGCTTGCGAGCACCGTCAGGCCATGTGCAAACCACTCTGGCATCTGAAGGATTGCAACGAAGGATTGCAAAAAACTGAAGGATTGCAAAATCCTTGGGTTTTTGCAGTCCTTGGTTTTTTGCAATCAATCCTTCGTTATAACCCCCCTATCCCCTCGGCACCCCCCGCGGTCATCCCGGTGTCCTGGCGTCGTCTTACTCTCCTCCGCTAGCGCCGCAGCCGCTCCGAGTTCGGCCCGAGCCCTCCACTGGGCGCTCGGCGAGTCGGCGAGGGTCCCGCCCCCGCCGCCCGTGGCGGGGCCGAGCCGCGCGAGCGCGCATCCTGCTGCCGCCTCCGGCGGCGCGCGGGCCAGGGAGGAGGGAGGTAGCGAGGGGAGGGTGGATGAGGAGGAGGAGGAGGAGGGAGGAGGGAGGAGGGACGAGGGAGGAGGGAGGAGGGAGGGGGGACGAGGCAGGAGGGAGAGGAGGGAGGAGGGAGGGGAGGAGGAGGAGGAGGGAGGTAGTGAGGAAGGGAGGGAGGGAGGGAGGGAGGGAGGGAGGGAGGAGGGAGGGAGGAGGAGGAGGAGGAGGCGGAGGAGGAGAAGGTAGGCAGGGCCAGTGAGGAGGGGCAAGAGGGTGCTGTGATCATCGGATGCCAGAATTTCCCTGTCACAGTTGAAGAGACACACCGATGTTGCTTCCGATTCCAATCTTAGGTCGCGGCCCATTTGCTTCAAAATCGGTTGCCACCGATGGGTCCCACCGATTGGTTGCGATCGGTCGCGACCAGTCGCGATCGATTTTGGAATCGGTCGCGATCGGTCGCGACCGATTTGGAGTGCCGATCGGTCGTTACCGATCGTGACCGAACATGGTCGGTATCCAATGATCTGGGTGGGGAAGAGGTCACACGAAGCCAGGACAGGACAACATCGGACCAGGACAAGTCGCAGATCTCCGAGATCCGCGGCCGTTCCAGAGCGCTCTGGAACGCTCAGGAGGAGGAAGACGTACCGATACTGCCGCTCCTTCTGGGCAGCCCTCGTCGCCACGGCTGGGTTCTCATCGAGATTCCGGTCAGAATGCGCCCCGGGAGGGTTTCCGGGAGTAGCGGTATCGCTACCTTCTGATCCCCCCACGGATGGGGAGGAGGAGGAGGAGGAGGAGGAGGAGGAGGAGGAGGAGGAGGAGGAGGAGGAGGAGGACCAGTGAAAACCCAAGGCTTATCAACGATATTGCAATAAACCCTTCCTCCGAGTTCCCCCTTCAGATGTGCCTACGAGGATTCATTTTCACTGAGGGAAGTGCCCTGTTGGAAGACAACCGATTGAAAATCTGGAACTGCGCCAGAACATCATTCCTGGGACTTCAGCGCCGCGAATCACCGTTACTGTTGCGTCCTGACGATCCTGAATCGCACCAAAACGCAATTTCTGGGACTTCAACACTGCGGATGAGCGTGACTGCTGCGCCCTGACATTCCGACATTGTGCCAAAACACCAGTTCTGGGATGTTAAATATCAAAATCCTTACAACTGATGTAAGACGAATGTGCGCGGCGCTTAGGCGAGAGCCACATTTGAAGACGAACCGAACTCCATCTGTGAAACTCTTGCAAACTTTTGAGACGAATATGCGCGGCTCTGGGGCGAGAGCCACACTTTGAAAACGCGCACTCCATCTGTGAAATGATCGCAAACTTTTGAGATGAATTTGCGTGGCGCTAAGGCGAGAGCTACATTTTGAAAGTGACCCGCTTTCCATCCGTGAAACTGTTGCGAGTCTGAACTTCAGGATCATAAGTGGTGAGGAAGTCTCCCGCGAAACACCCAACCCGCCCTTCCGACCGTGCGGCAGGGAGGAGTTATTTATAAGGAAAGGACATGGAGGAGGAGGAAGAGGAGGAGGAGGAGGAGGAGGAGAGGAGGAGGAGGAGGAGGAGGAGGAGGAGGAGGATGAGGAGGAGGAGGAGGAGGAGGAGGAGGAGGGAGGAGGAGGAGGAGGAGGAGTCGTTTACGAGGAGGGGGAGGGGTAGTGTCGAATATCGCATCAGTCTTTGGGTGGGTGTGGGCTCGGAGGGCCAGCGCAGGCCGCGAGACAGGCGTGGGTGGAATTCTTCCCGAGCGCCGTCCTTGGCGCGACCTCTCGCGTCCGGAAGCCTGGGGAACCAGCACCTGGGCCAGCAGGAGGACAAGGACTGGAAGAGGAAGAGGTGGAGGAGGAGAAGGAGGAGGAGGAATCATATTATCATTATTATTATTACGATTCTTATCGTTAGTAAAATTATTAGTAACATTATTATTATCATTCGTATTAATGTTGCTAGTATTAACATTATTATTCATATTATTCACTATCACTATTACTGTTATTATTCTTATTCGTAGTACTGTTAGCATCTTGTTGCAATGAATATTGCAGCAATGCGATTTCACTTGAAAGCAGCCATAATACAACTAACATGAAGAGCACGAATGATGTAGATGCTCAGCAGAACATGCTCCCAAGCAGTGTTTACGCTCAGGAAATCTTACTTGGTCTGAAAGGAACTGGGCTTGCGTGTCGGTCTGGCCGGCTTGTTGTCGCCGTCGCCGCCCATCGCCGCCGTCTGTCGCCGCCCGCTGCAAAGCAATCGCGTTGCATTGCAATGGCGTTGCATTGCGTTGCAATCGCATTGCATTGCAGTCGTGCTGCACTGCAATCGCATCGCATTGCATTGCATTGCAATCGCACTGCACTGCAATCGCTTTGCAATTGCTGTGCATTGGTTTGCATTGGTGTGCATTGCTTTGCATTGCTTTGCACTGCTTTGCTTTGCTGTGCCTTCCTTTGCATTGTTTTTGCATTGCTCCGTATTTCTCTGCATTGCTATGCCTTGTTTTGCATTGCTTTGCATTGCTTCGCACCGCATTGCCTTGTGTTGCCTTGCTTTGCATTTCTTTTCGTTGCTTTGCATTGCTTTGCATCGCTTTGCATTGCTTTGCAGTGCGTTGCATCGTATTGCATGTCATTGCTTTGAATTGCTTAGCTTAGACTTTCATCGCTTGACGTTGCTTTGCATTATCCGGAAGGGCTTCGCCCTCTGCCGCCGGCCCCCTCTCTCGGCTGATGGGCAAAGCAGGAGCGAAAGCATGAGGCCTTGGCGCCTCCGTGAAGCAGCGTCGGGACTTCACGCGAAGAGGGTGAGTAATCGGCAAGACAAATTGAGATTCTGGTGATATTATTGAATTCGGTGTTATGTTTCGAGCTTGCTCGCGTATGCTGTGCAAAAAACTTTCCTACGAAGTATTGAAAAGTTGCAAATCCCTTGTGGTTTTTTGACCCTGACCCCACCGAGCTGCGTGAGGGGTGCCACCGAATTTCAAGGTATGTGGCAAATCACATGTGTTTTTCGACCCTGACCTCGCCGATCTACATGAGGAGTGCCACCGAATTTCAGAAATGTGGCAAACCCCTTCTCTGTTTTTGGACCCTGACCCCGCCGATCTGCGTGAGGGATGCCACCGGATTTCAGAAATGTAGCGAATCCCATGTATTTTTGACACCTGACCCCACCGAGCTGCGTGAGGGGTGCCACCGAATGTCAGGAATGTTGTACATCCGATGTATTTTTCGACCCTGACCCTGCCGATCTGCGTGAGGGGTGCCACCGAATTTCAGACATGTAGCAAATCCCGTGTGTTTTTTGACCGTGACCCCGCGGATCTGCGTGAGGGGTGTCACCGAATTTTAGAAATTTGGCAAATCCCTTGTGTTGTTGGACCTTGACCCCGCCGATCTGCGTGAGTGGTGTTAATTTCGACCCCCTCAGAAATTCTGAGCACGCGATCTGGGCGTGGTAGAAATGACGGTTTGCGGCTCCCCCCCCTCGCGCGGTCTACAGCAAGGAACAGTAAGAAGCAAGAAACATAATTAAAACAGTGGAAATTGGAAACTGGAACTGGTGCAGGGAACAGAAAAGCCTGGCCCTACAGCCTGGTGGCCCCACAAGGGGGCCGGCCGATTCTGCGTTGCTGTGTATTGCTTTGCATTGCTTTGCATTGGCTTCCATTGATATGCATTGCTTGCTTTGTATTGCATTGCATTTGCGTTGCTTGCCTGTGCATGTTCCTGCTAGCATTGCATTGCTTTACACTTTTCTTCGACTGCAGCGTGTTGCATCTCATTACGTTGTTTTGTTTTCTTTTGCATTGATTTGCATTGCGTTGCTTTGCATTGCTCTGCATCGGTCTTCATCGCTTTGCATTGCTTTGCATCGCAATGGCGTTGCTTTGCATTGCATGTCTTTGCGTTTCCTTGCATAGTTCTGCATTGCTCTGCAATGCGTTGCATTATCTTGCTTTGCCTGGCCTTGCATTGCTTCGCATTTCTTTGCATTGCTTTGCATCGAAGTGCATTGCTTTGCATTGCTCGGCATTGCTTTACATTGCTCTGTATTGCTTTGCATTGCCTGGCTTTGCTCTGCACCACGTTTGCATTGGTTTGCATTGCATTGCATCGCATTGCTGTGCATGGCGTTGTCGTGCTTTGCGTTGCTTTGATTTGCATTGCTTTGCATCGCTTTCAGTTGCTTGTCGTTACTTTGCGTTGACGTGCGTTGTTTTGTGCCACATAGGGCGCACCACTTGGATTGCAACATCTATGCTGCACCGCATTGGTTGCACCACCTATATTGCACTGTATCGATGGCAAGGCATCGCTGTTAGGGGTCTACACTTGCTAACCTAATGTTGGCAGCCGTAATACTTGGTGCTACGGTGAATCGGTCCACGATCGCGCGGGAGGACAACACTAATACTGATACGGGTAATGCTGCTAATGCGAGTACAAACCGTAATACTTCGAAGAAGATGCAGACTGCTACGACCACTCAGGTGACCAATACTACTGAAACGATTGCTGCTTCGAGTGGTAGGGTGGCTGATCATAAGAATCACACCGCTAGTAATAACAACACGATTATCACTACTAGCCATGCTAACGGCAACATTAGGAGTACGCTATCACAATACGACTACCAACGAGGCGATTGTCAGCAACCTGTGGCAATGCAGACTATTACTGCACATACGACGACGGGCGATCATGTTAAGCAACCGTTGCAATACGATTAATGACGATGCGATTAATAAGCCGACGAGGAGGAAATAGGCAGGAACAGAAGGCACATGAGGATTCTGGTAGTGGTGCTGTTCGTTCGGGGAAATGGAGGAGGATATGGAGGAGGAGGATGGGTGGGAGGCGGAGGAGGGGGAGGAGGAGGAGGAGAGGAGGGAGTAGTAGGAGGAGAAGGAGGAGGAGGAGGAGGAGGAGTATAATACGCAATCTAATAAGAACGAGGAGGAGGACTTGGAGGAGGCAGAGAAGAGGATGGCTGAGGTTGATCAGGCAGAGGACGACGATAACGAGAATGAATACGATGCTGGTGGTGGTGGTGGTGGTGGTAGCGGCGGTGGTGGCTGTGCTGATGGTGGGGAGGAGGATGATGCGAAGGCAGAGGTGGGGATGGAGGAGGACAAGGAGGAGGAGGAGGAGGAGGAGGAGGAGGAGGAGAAGGCGTTGCGAACCCCTTTGTGACCGCAGGCCGTCCCTATCCTGGGTCATGTGAGTGCGTAGCTTGGGCCCCCTCCCTCGTCTCGCAGACGGATGATGGTCATGCTGTCGGTGGTGTTGGTGCTGATGCCGTCTACTGCAGCAGCGGTATGATGATGGAAAGGATGGTGAGAATGCTGATGATGGTAGTGGTGGTGATCGGGAGGATGAGCATGAGGAGGAGGAGGACCACGACGACGATGACGAGTACGTGGATCATGAGCAGGAGGATGAGGAGGCAAAGGCGGAGGGGGTAGAAGGCGGAGGCGGCCTGTGTGTGTGTGTGTGTGTGCGGTGGAGGGGTGGGAAGTTCGTGGGAGGGGTGGAGAGGGAAGAAGGAAGGAAGCAGGCGGAAGAAGAATACATCGCTGGTCCGAGAGTTCCTTGATGTACAGGGGGAGGGGTTTCGTCGCCGTCGTCGTCGCCACCGTCGCCGTCGTCATCGCGTCCGTCGTCGTAGTCGGCGCCCTTGTCCTCGTCGTTATCGTTGTCGTTGGCGTCGCCGTCTTCGCTGTTATCGGGGTCGTTGTCGCCGCAGGCATTTGCGGACTTCTGCTGGAACTGGGAAGGCGTAAGGGGGAATGAGGGAGGAGGAGAAGGAGGAGGAGTAGGCGGAGGAGGAGGAGGAGGAGGAGGAGGAGGAGGAGGAGGAAAATGAGCACGGGTAGCCGAGGAAGGCGCAATGGGAAAGAAGGAAGGACGATAGAGGGGGAGTAGGAGTGCGCAGCATCAAGGGGCACCGTCGCGCACAGCACAAAGGGCCACCTGTGAATTGGCCCGCTGCCTCAGAGCAGGCCGAGGAGGAGGAGGAGGAGGAGGAGGACGAGGACGAGGATGATGATGATGATGATGATGATGATGATGATGATGATGATGATGATGATGATGATGATGATGATGATGATGATGATGATGAGATGAGGAGGAGGAGGAGGAGGAGGAGGAGGAGGAGGAGGAGGAGGAGGAGGAGGAGGGGGCAGGGCCCAGTCGTGGGCCAGGAAAGGTTGGGTGCATCGGGCAAGGAGAGGCGCTGAGATCCAAGTCCGCCCTGGAGCGTGAAACGACTCCAGGAAGGGTAGACAAGGTGAGCTTGGGTGAGTAGGCAGAGGGATAGGGGGCCAGCTAAGTGTGCTTGCGGCCAGGAGGCGGCCTTCGGAGGCCGAAAACGACGAAACACTGGCCGTCACGATCTTTTTCCAACGGCAGGGCCTGAGGGAGCGCACGATCGTCTCGGATAAGTGGCCGGCTCGGCAAGTCGTGGTTGGTAACAGTTTTTTTGTTCCGATTGCCGGGAGGCGTGATCGAGGCCCGCCGCTGGGAGCCGCGCAGACTGCCGTTTGGATACCGTTGCGGTCCTCACCTGTCTGACCGGCATGGCGACCTAGCGTGATGTCGCCATGCCTCTCAGCGCTGACCTTTTGCCCTCTCAGCGTTCGCACCCGAGGCGCTGCTCCACTGCCCCATCTTCCGTGGCTGCTAGTCCCTGGAGTGTAGTCACTGTTCCGAAGGGCCAGGACGCCCTGGCACGCAAGTCGTCGCGAGGCACCCGCAGACTCCGTGGTCGCGTGAAAGCCCCTTCCCTCCCCCTCCTCCAGTCCTGTTCCTTAGCAATAATTCCTCCCTGTCGCACCCCGATGCCATTCGGAGGGGCGGGCTGGGTGCTTCTCCGGAGGGCGGGTGGTTTTGAACATGTGGCTCTCGCTTTATCGCCACGCGCATCCGTCTTTAGCATCCGCAAGAGTTTAACATACTGAGGGCGGGTCGTTCTCGAAATGTGGCCTTCGCCTTAGCGCCGCGCACACTCGTCTTACCTCTTGTAAAAGCTTCACGGATTAAGGACGGGGTTCGTTTTCAAGATGTCGCTCTCGCCTTTGCACCGCGCGCATTTTTTTAACACATCGCATGCAATTCACACATTGAAGGCGGCTCCTTTTCAAATTGTCGCTCTCGCCTTGGCGCCGCATTCGTGTTTTAAGTGGTGCGAGCCTTTCTTGGATTCGCATGGCTAATCTACCAGAACATGTTGTGAAACGATTCATGGTTGTGAAGGCGCAACAGTTACGTAAATTCGCGGTGTTGAAGTCCCAGGGATGACATTCTGTTACGAATCGGGATCGTCAAGACGCAGCAATCAAGCTGATTCGTGGCGTTGAAGCTCCAGAGTCGGTGTTTGGGCGCGCTTCAGGATCTTCCAATGGTTGCCTCCCAACGGGGCACTTCCCTGAGTGGAAAGAACCCTTGCGGGGGCCCATGGAGAGGGAGCTTGCAGGGAGGGTTGATCCCAACATCGTTGATGAGTCTTGGGACTGCACTGGTCCCCCTCACCTTCATCCTCCTACCCATCCCACCCATCGCGGCGCGCCCAGGCAGAGGGGGCCTTCCCCGAAGCCGCACGGGGCTTCCCAGAAGGCCGCAGGGCTTCAGGGAGGCACTGCCGCCCTCTGAGAAGGCCTGCCCCCTCCCACTTCCATTCTCGCCCCCCCCCCACGCTAACCAAGGATTCCTCACTACAGGGATCCTCATTTAGGAGCCCGTGGTAAAGACGCATCATTGTCCTTGAGTTCTTACAGAGGCATCCTCACTGAGGATTTCCCCTCGGCGCGCCACCGATTCTGCCCCCTCCTCCTGCTCCTCCTCCCGCGCCTGCATCCCGTGTAGCACCACGGTTGCCATGATGGCAGGATGACGATAAAAAGAAGTTAAGCAAGGTTTCACAGCCCCAGCCGAGCCACATGTCTTTCTGCGTGTGGACATGCGACGGCTTGAAGGGCTCGAGTGCTGCTGCTCCTCCTCCTGCACCTCCTCCTGACCCCTCGACCCCGTCCTCGATCTGGCCCCCCCCCCCGTCGTCACCGCCCGAATGTCTCGATCCGCCTCGAGCCCCGATCCGCGCTCCTCGATCGGCGAGGAGGCGGAGGCGGAGGAGGAGGAGGAAGAGAAGGAGGAGGAGGAGGAGGAGGAGGAGGAGGAGGAGGAGGAGGAGGAGGAGGAGGAGGAGGCCGAGGAGGAGGAGGAGGAGGAGGAGGCGGAGGAGGAGGAGGAGGAGGAGGAGGAGGAGGAGGTGGCCCTTCCCCGCTTGGAGAGGCCGCCGCCGCCCCTGTCCGGACCTGGAGAGATGCGGGCGCTCCTCGGCCGCGCCGCGGCCTCCCGCGCGCGGCTCGCCGCGCCGCGTGGGGCGCCGCGGGGCTGGCAGGCCTGCGGCACCCCCGTCGGCACCCCGGCGGCCTTCGGCCGCCCAGGGCGCTTCCTCGGCCCAGGGCGCTTCGCTTCGTCGGCCTGAGGGCAGTGCGCGCTGGCGAGGAGGAAAGGGCTACCCATACCTCTACCCCTCCCTCGTGTTCCCCTCCTGCGAGGCCCTCGTCGCCGCCGTGGATTCGCCTCGAAATCCTGGTCAGATCGCGCCCCGGGAGAGGTCCGGGGAGCAGCGGTGTCGGTACCTTTTGGTTTACCCAAGTGCACGCTGGCTCTTTTTTTCATTTTGAGCGTAGTCGTGCCGCAGTGTGTCACCGCGTGGCAGGCGCTGCTCCTGGAGCAGGCGCGCGCTGAGCCTGAGCCTGAGCCTGAGCCGTCCCTTCGTGCCTCCCTCCCCCCCTCCGCCCCCACTCCGCTCGACGAAAGCAACGCGCCAGCATCCAGAATCAGGACTTCCTCCTCTTCCCCCTCCTGCTCGTCCTTTCAGAGGAGCATGAAGTATTGATATTGATCGTTTTCAAGATTTCCAGGTTTTCTTGTTCTTCCGCGCGGGCTCCAGGGACGAATTGTCGAGCGCATTCCGTCGCGCAGGTTCTTTGCGTGATGTGCGCGGTGCATTTTTCGCGCATCGGAGCGCCCTCGGAGATTCCAAGCTGCATTCTGTTTTGCTCTTGGGGAGTCCGCGAGTCGCAGCTGCCGCGGCGCGATTTTCGAGGTAACCCCTTCGAGTGCTGTTCGCGGGCGCAAGGCGCGGTGCGCGCTGCGCCCAATCGCGCGGCGCGGTGCGTGATTCAGCCGGCCGCGCCCGTTGGACTGCCTCGATTTTATTTCTGGCTTTTAGAATGTTTCAAAACGCTGCTGTTTTTTTGCGCAAATGGTTCCGGAATTTACCGAACAGCGAAGACTGATAGGTTTCTAGTGGTGTCAAAAGAGAGCATCTGATGACTCAGAAGGGGGGTCTGGGCGGCATCCGGACAGCGAGGGCCGGGCTCAGGGCCGGGCTTGTTTTAACCAAACAGTCACACATTTCGTGCTCTTCGACCTCCCAGAACTCCATTCCCGGGCCACATTTTGAATGCCCGGAGCCAACTGTAGGCCACTTCGTGCTCTTCGACTTCCCAGGACTCCATTCCCGGGCCATGATTTTGAATGCCCGGAGCCAACTGTAGGCCACTTCGTGGTCTTCGAGTTCCAGAACTCCACTCCTGGGCATGATTTTGAATGCCCGGAGCCAACTGTAGGCCACTTCGTGGTCTTCGATTCCCAGAACTCCATTCCTGGGCCATGATTTTGAATGCCCGGAGCCAACTGTAGGCCACTTCGTGGTCTTCGAGTTCCCAGAGCTCCATTCCCGTGCCACATTTTGAATGCCCGGAGCCAACAGTAGGCCACTTCGTGGTCTTCGAGTTCCCAGAACTCCATTCCCAGGCCACATTTTGAATGCCCAGAGCCAACTGTAGGCCGCTTCGTGGTTTTCGAGCTCCCAGGTTCCATTCTTTGGCATGATTTTGAATGCCCGGAGCCAGCTGTAGGCCACTTCGTGTTTTTCGAGTTTCCCAGGGGGCTGAGGCAGGCTGAGGCTGAGGCTGAGGCAGGCTGAGGCTGAGGCAGGCTGAGGCTGAGGCCGAGGCTGAGGCTGAGGCTGAGGCTGAGGCTGAGGCTGAGGCTGAGGCTGAGGCTGAGGCTGAGGCAGGCTGAGGCTGAGGCTGAGGCTGGAAGGCTGAGGCTGAGGCTGAGGCTGAGGCTGCTGATCTGAGGCTGAGGCAGGCTGAGGCTGAGGCTGCTGAGGCTGAGGCTGAGGCAGGCTGAGGCTGAGGCTGATGCAGGCTGAGGCTGAGGGCTGAGGCTGAGGCCGGCTGAAGGCAGCTGAGGCTGAGGCTGAAGCAGGCTGAGGCTGAGGCAGGCTGAGGCTGAGGCTGAGGCTGAGGCAGGCTGATGCTGAGGCAGGCTGAGGCTGAGGCTGAGGCTGATGCAGGCTGAGGCTGAGGCAGGCTGAGGCTGAGGCCGAGGCTGAAGGCAGACTGAGGCTGAGGCTGAAGCAGGCTGAGGCTGAGGCAGGGCTGAGGCTGAGGCTGAGGCTGAGGCAGGCTGATGCTGAGGCAGGCTGAGGCTGAGGCTGAGGCTGATGAGGCAGGCTGAGGCTGAGGCAGGCTGAGGCCGAGGCTGAAGGCGACTGAGGCTGAGGCTGAAGCAGGCTGAGGCTGAGGCTTGAGGCTGAGGCTGAGGCAGGCTGATGCTGAGGCAGGCTGAGGCTGAGGCTGAGGCTGAGGCTGAGGCAGGCTGAGGCTGCAGGCTGAGGCTGCAGGCTGAGGCTGGCTGAGGCTGAGGCTGAGGCTGAGGCTGAGGCTGCTGAGGCTGATGAGGCTGAGCTGAGGCTGAGGCAGGCAGGCTGAGGGCAGGCTGAGGCTGAGGGCCGAGGCTGAAGGCAGACTGAGGCTGAGGCTGAAGCAGGCTGAGGCTGAGGCTGAGGCAGGCTGAGGCTGAGGCTGAGGCAGGCTGAGGCAGGCTGAGGCTGAGGCTGAGGCTGATGCAGGCTGAGGCTGAGGCAGGCTGAGGCTGAGGCCGAGGCTGCAGGCAGACTGAGGCTGAGGCTGAGGCAGGCTGAGGCTGAGGCTGAGGCAGGCTGAGGCTGAGGCAGGCTGAGGCTGAGGCTGAGGCAGGCTGCTGAGGCTGAGGCTGACTGCAGGCCACTGCGACTGTCAACGCGAATGCGACTACGACTGCGAGAACAGCAGAATTCTACAACTGGATTCTCATCTGAATCTTAAGGGGAATGCTTCCAGATATGCTCCTACACATCGCTGTTAGGTTGCTTTGCCGGGATAATTTTCAAAAAGGAGTCCAGAACTTATCAAACACAAAACCACATTTAGAGGGGTGGAAAACGCCCGCCGCGCAGGACATTTGAATAATTCAGAATGCCGGAATTTTTCAAAATGGATACCGGGATTTTTCAACGTCGATCCCGGAATTTTTCAAAATCGATTTGGGATGTTTGAAGGTATGCCGGACATTTTCAAAAACGTTATCGTTTTTTCGTCCATTTTTACACCCGGAGAATTTTCAAGAGTCGCGCGTGATTTGCCTTACCAGGTCTTTGGGAATCCGCCAAGGCGCGCGGTGTGCGGCGGCGGGCGACGGGGCGGTTCGCCACCGCCCCCCCCCGCGCTCTGCAACAAAAAGGGGGATCAGCAAGTGCTAAATAGCCCCTTACAGGCGACCACTCGATTGCGAATGGGTGACCGACCAGCGGCGCCAGGCAGAATACACAATATTCGACGCAAATTGTACCCCGCGCGAAGGCTGTTAGACATCCCGGAAGCTCCGGAACGTATCAATGGCACGTTGCGTCAATAGAGTCTTCTCGTCCTATTCTTGCCTCCCGACATCAACTTGTTATTGGTCTGCCAGTGGCGCTGCACGTCTGTATTGTGCGAGAGGCCACGACCCCCCCACCTGATCTCAGCCAGGGTGGGACGGTCGTCCGCAGTGGCGGTTCGTTCGTCCCTCCGCCCTCCGCTCCCTCTCCCCCGCATCGGCCGCTCAGCAGTGGCACAGTACGAATGCTGCTCGCCTCGCTCCCCCGAAGGGCGTCCTGAGAGCGGTGCGCCCCAAGCCGCGTAAAATTATTCGGTGTCGGTTCGGTTTCGGACCCCCGCGATTTTGAAAATTTTGCGCAAAGCCTCCTTTTCCTCCTCCTCCTCCTCCTCCTCCTCCTCCTCCTCCCCCTCATCCCCCTTCATCTTATAATCTTCTCATCCTCCTCATCATTCTTCTCTTGCTCACCCTCCCCCCCCGCCCCCCGTTCCCCCTCGTCCTCTTCTTCTTCCTCCTCCTCCTCCTCCTTCCCCCTTCCAAGAGGAAGCCATCACTTTAGGACAACCCTGAGAAACAACAGCCAAACAAATCAAAGACACTGAATTGCTGGAGGCTGGAAGTTTGGAAAACCCTTGGGGGGGAAAAACACCCAAACCCAAAACACCAAACATCCCAGGGAAGACTCGTCCGAAGGGACCACCTTCTCCTCTTCCTCCTCCTCCTCCTCCTTTTCCTCCTCCTCCTCCTCCTCCTCCCTTTCCAGCGAAACGCTGTAACTTTAGGAAAACACAGAGAAAAGAAGCCAACCAATCAAAGAACTAAACACATAAACAAACGACAAACCAACCAAAGAACAAAAAAACAAAGTTTCCAAGCAATGCCGCCCGCCCATGAGGTGGGACGCGCCTCCGCTCTACCTCCACGGCCTGGGTTGGAAGAACCATCCTCGTCCTCCTCCTCCTCCTCCTCCTCCTCCTCCTCCTCCTCCTCCTCCTCCTCCTCCTCCTCCCCCCCCCTCCGCCTCCTCTTTCTCGTTCCCCCCCTCCTCCTTATCCTCCTTCCCCCTCCTCGTGCCGAGGCTCTCCCTCCTCCTCCTCCTCCTCCTCCTCCTTCTCCTCTTCCTCTTCCTCCTCCTCCCCCGTCCAACGGAAGGCCATAACTTTAGGAACACCCTGAGACAAAAACAAAACAGCACCAAAGCAACTGAAGTGCTGGAGGCGGAAATCTTTGAACAACCATGGGGAAACAAACACCCAAAAACCAACAACCAAAGATCTCAGGGAAAACCAGTCCGCCGCAAAGGGGAGGTTACATGGGCGGGCGGCATTGCTTGGAAACGTTTCCCCCCGAGGGGTTATCCAAAGTTTCAGCCTCCAGCAGTTCAGTTTTGTGTTTTGTTTTTGTTTTGTTTTTTCCTCTCAGGGTTTTCCTAAAGTTATGGCGTTTCGCTGGAAGGGGGGAGGGAGGATGAGGAGGAAGAGGAGGAGGAAGAGGAGGAGGAGGAGGAGGAGGAGGAGGAGGAGGAGGAAGAAGAGGAGGAGGGGGAGGAAGAGGAGGAGGTGGTCCCTTCGGACGAGTCCTCCCTTTTTTGTCCCCAGGGGTTTTCCAAACTTCCAGCCTTCAGCAATTCAGTTTCTTTTTTTTGTTTGTTTTTCTTTGGGTTTTCCTAAAGTTATGGCTTTCCCTTGGAAGGAGGAGTGAGGAGGAGGAGGAGGAGGAGGCGGAGGAGGGGTGAACGGGGGATGGGGGGGGGAGGGTGAGCAAGAGAAGAATGATGAGGAAGATGAAAGGATTATAAGATTAAGGGGGATGAGAGGGAGGAGAAGTTGGAGGAGGAGGAGGAGGAGGAGGAGGGGGAAGAGGAGGAGGAGGAGGTTTTGCGCAAAATTCTCAAAATCGCGGGGGCCCGGAACCGAACCTTAAACAATTTTTCTTCCATGCGCGCAGGATTCGCCCGAGCCAGTTTTTTTCGGATGCACTGCTGCTCGATCCGAACGTGTTCGGCCCCTCCAACATGTCATGGCGCCAACATCGCAGAGCGGATTCCGTTCGAAAAACGATAGGATGGGCCCGGAGTGTCCTGGAGAATTTCGTTCTGGATTTTGAAGTGAATTTCGTGCGGATTTTATTTGGCCAGCAATGAAGACAAAACAGATCCATGTGAAATTCACTTCGTTTTTCGCTTGCCGCTTCGGGCACACATCCACGCGGAAATCCACGCAGAAATCCGGTGCAACACGTCTGCAAGGCCGGTGCAATGAAACATGGCGCTCCCGCTGCAGCGTGGACCTCGTACAGTGGAGACCCATGCCAAGAAATACCTTTCGATGGTCTTGCTGGGGAAGGCGTGGCGTTCCCACACACAAAAATGAATGGACGTCCTGGGGTCTCAGGTTTGGGTTTCTTGTGGAAGGTTTCTTGTGGTCGAGCCCCTACTGTAATATTAGGATCGGTACTGTGCTCCCGTCGTTCAGACTGGCGCTCGCGCCCCAGCGCGGGCCACTCTTCTGAATCCGAGTCCCTCCTCCTCTTTGTCGCCCCCCTCCTTTGCCCGCCTCCGCCTTCCCCTGGTCCTCCTGCTCCTCTCGCTCCTTCCGCTCCAGCTCCTGCTGCTATTCGTCCTCGTCCTCCTCCTTCCTCGTCCTCCTCCTTCTCCTCCTGCTCATCCTCCTGCTCACCCGCCACCTCCTCCAGTGCATGTAGCTCCCCTCTTCCCGCTTGATCATAACACATTGGGGTCATCTTTGGACTTCCAGGTCAGCTATGACACGCGCGTCGGCGGAAAGGGGCCAAAGGGACAGGTGGGAGGTAGGTCGTCAGGTGTGGCGCGAGCGCACAACGCTCGTCCCCTCCTCTCTCCCTCCCTCCCTCCGTCCTCCCTCTCCCTCCCTCTTCCCCCCCCTCCTCCGTCCTCCCGCCCTCGAGCCCCCCCCCCCCTCCCCCTTCCTCCCTCCTCCCTCCACCGCCATGGGGACCCTCCACGATGCCTCGCGCTGGGGGTGGTGATGCCGCCTTTCCTTGGTCCTCCTGCTCCTCCTCGCAATCTTCGGAGGGTTGCGGTAGTCACCCCCCGCTCTAGTGTTAAGTCGGGCGTGTCCCTCCACAGGAGGAATATTCGAACATAGGTAAACAATAGTCGGGGAATGATTTGTTGGTCTATCTTGGATTTTTTAAAGTGTGTTTTGACTTTTTTCATCTTTCTTCCATGATCCGCCTGTAGGAGGACATGCCCGACCGAACTCTAGTGTGCACAGTCTTTGCGTCCATTGGGAGAGCGGCTGCGCCATCAGCGTCGCGTCGCGTCGCGTTGCGTTGCGTTGCGTTGCGTCGCGTCGCGTCGCGTCCCGTCTCGTCTCGTCTCGTCCTCCTCCTCCTCCTCCTCCTCCTCCTCCTCCTCGTCGACTCCGAAAAACCCTCGTCGGGTTTAGGCGCAGTTGGGAACATCTCCATGGGATTAGGCGCCCACTCGCCTATTGCGGTTTCCATGACTCCTCCCCCTTCTCCTCCTCCTCCTGCTCCTCCTCCTCCTCCCTCCTCCTCCTCCCGCTCTCCCTTCCCCTTCCCCTTCCCCTGCGACCCTTCCCTCCTCCCTCCCTCCCTCCTTCTCCCCCCTCCCCCTCTCTCCGCACCGCCCCCGCCCCTCCTTCCCCGCCCCTCCCTCGCCGCCTCCCCGCCCCTCTCCCCCTTCCGTGCCCTCCATCCCTCACCGCGAGCCCGCTCTGCTTCCCCGCCGGGGTCCACGCGGACCGCGCCAAGGGGGCAGGCCAGCCCTCCGCGCCTGCTTCGCACGACGCGCCCACCACCCCTGGCTTCGTGCGCGGCGCCTCCGGCTCTGTGAGGAAGGCCTGCGGGGCGCTCTGGCGGCATCGGGGCTCACACGGAACGTGCTGCGGTCTCCGCCGCCCGCCCCGCCCCGGTCCGCTCCGCCCTCCCGCTCCTCCCCGCCCCGCCACGCCCCGCCTCGCCTCCTCCTCCTCCTCCTTTTCCTCCTCCTTCCTCATCCTCCTCCTCCTCCTCGTCCTCCATGGGCACGCTCCACCTCCTCCTCCTCCTCCTCCTCCTCCTCCTCCTCCTCCTCCGCCTCCTCCTCCTCCTCCTCCGCCTCCGCCCCGCCCTCTGCAGAGGCGCTGCCGGCGCTCGCCTCGCAGACCCGGGGCATGAAGTTGACGCCGCGGGAGCCGCGCCCATCGGCCCGCGCGTGGAGCCTGGCAGCGGGAGGGTCGGGACTATCGACATGGGCACGGGTTCGGTACAAGTCATGGGAGCCTGGTGTACCCTCTTAATTGCGTCTTTAGCGTCGACTAGCGTCTATCAGCGTCTGGGAGTCGATGAGATGTGCCGATTTAGCGTCGATTAGCGTCGATTTAGCGCGTCGACTAGCGTCGATTAGCGCCGATTCGCAAGAGTCGACAAGATGGTATTGGAAGCTCCCATGAGTTGCCACCGAAAACGGGGAGAACGGGCACAAAGACTGGCAGATAGGAGGACGGGGAGGAAGGGGGAGGAGGAGGAGGAGGAGGAGGAGGAGTTGGAGGAGGAGGAGGAGGAGGAGGCGGAGGCGGAGGCTGAGGCGGAGGAGGAGGCGGAGGCGGAGGAGGATGAGGAGGAGGATCCTTCGCCCTCGAGCCCTCGAAGCCCTCGGAAGGAGCTGGACCACCTGCGGCTCTCGCAGGCGGGCCAGCTGGCCCAGCGGCGCCTGGCCCGCGGACTGCGGCTGAACCACCCCGAGGCTGTGGCGCTCATCGCCAGCCAGATGATGGACGCCCTCGGCCCCCCTTGAAGGGCAGGAGGAGGATCGATTATGATGATGCTGCTGATGATGATAGTGATGATGAAGATGATGTTGATGATGATGTTGCTCATGGTGATGCTGATGTTGCTACTGCTGCTGCTGCTGCTGCTGCTGCTGATGATGATGATGATGATGATGATGATGATGTTGACGATGATGATGATGATGATGATGATGATGATGATGATGATGATGATGATGATGATGATCAGGACGATGCGACTGAGGATGACGATCATGATGAGGGTGAGCAGGAGGATGAAGATGAGGACGAGGATGGTGCTGATGACGATGACGATGATGGCGACGATGATGATGAGGAGGAGAATGAGCAGGATGATGAGGATGAGGACGAGGATGATGACGATGACGGTGATGCTGGCGATGATGATGCTGCTTATGATGACGATGATGCTGATGATGATGCTGATGATGCTGATGATGCTGATGTCAACGATGACCATGACGAGGATGAGGATGAGGATGGGGTTCTGATGACGATGAGGATGATGATGACGCTGCTGCTGATGCTGCTGATGATGAGGATAGTGCGGATGAGGCTGATGATGAGGATGCTGATTGGGATGATGATGATGCTGTTGCCGATGATGCTTATGATGCGGATGATCATGATGATGCTGTTGCTGCTGATGATGAGGATGAGGTTGAGTGTACGGATGATCATGAGGCTGATGATGATGGTGGCGATGGTGAAGACGAGGAGGATCATGGTGATGATGATGCTGATTATGATGATGATGATGATGATGATGATGATGATGATGATGATGATGATGCTGCTGCTGCTGCTGATGATGATGATGATGATGATGTTGATGATGATGATGATGATGATGATGATGGTGCGGATGATGAGGATGATGATGGCGATGCTGATAATGATGCTGCTAATGCTGGTGGCGATGACGATGTTGATGGGATTGAGGATGAGGATGGGGATGATGAGGTTGACGCGGATAACTGCTGCCGATGATGCTTAGGATGATGCATTTGGTGATGATGCTGCTGATTCTGATGCTGATGCTGATGATGCTGATGCTGATGCTGATGCTGATGATGGTGATGATGCTGATGCTGGTGATGATGCTGATGATGATGCTTATGATAACGATGATGATGCTGATGAGGATGATGATGCTGATGCTGCTGATGATGAGGATGATGCTGCTGACGATCATGCTGATGCTGATGATGATGTTGACGACGATGCTTAGTATGATGATGATGATGATGATGATGATGATGATGATGATGATGATGATGATGATGATGATGATGATGATGATGATGATGGTGCTGATGATGATGATGATGCTGATGATGATGATGATGATGATGATGCTGGCGATGAGGATGCGGGTGCTGATGATGATGAGGATGCTGACGATGCTGATGCTGATATTGACGACGACGATGCTGATGCTAATGATGACGATTACCTCTGGATGAGTATCAGCATGATGATGGGAATGGTGATTCTGATCATGATGATGCTGTTGCTGATGATGATGATGATGATGATATTGACGACGACGATGCTGATGCTAATGATGACGATTACCTCTGGATGAGTATCAGCATGATGATGGGAATGGTGATTCTGATCATGATGATGCTGTTGCTGATGATGATGATGATGATGATGATGATGATGATGATGATGATGGTGCTGACGCTGCTGCTGATGGTGATGATGATGATGCTGACGGTGAGGATGATGATGCTGATGAGGTCGAGGAAGGGGATGCGGGTGTTGATGCTGATAGCACTGATGATAAGGCTGATGATGATGCTGATGATGCTGATGATGATGATGACGCTGCTGATGATGCTGATGATGAGGCTGCTTATGAGGATGATGATGCTGATGATGACGATGATGATAATGCTGCGGACGACGATGTCGATGCTGATGATGATAATGATGATGATGATGATGATGATGATGATGATGATGATGATGATGATGATGCTGATCATGATGATGATGCTGGCGACCATGCTGATGACGATAGTGCTGATTACGACGATCATGATGCTGATGCTGCTGACGATGCGGTTGGTGATGATGGTGATGACGATGCTGATTCGGATGATGATGCGGACGAGGATGCTGATGCTGATGATGATGATGCTGATGATGATGATGATGATGATAATGGCGATGACGATGCTGAAGACTATGATGATGACGATGACGACGCTCATGCTGCTGCTGCTGATGATGAAGATGATGGTGTTGCTGGTGGCGACGGCGGTCATCATTGTGATGTGGGCGAAGATGAAGCTGCTGATGATGACGATGATGATGATGATGATGAGGATGATGTTGATGATATGATGATGATGAAGATGCTGATGCTGCGGCTGATGATGATGCTGATGACGATGCGGATGCGGATGAGGATGATGATAGTGACGATGAGGATGCGGATGACGATGCGGATACGGATGAGGATGATAATGATCATGCTGATGATGATGATGACGCTGCTGATGATGCTGATGCTGATGGTGCTGATGCTGATGCGGCTGATGCTGTTGATGATGATGACGATGACGATGATGATGATGCTGATGATGATGATGCTGATGATGATGACGATGATGCTGATCATGATCATGATGATGATTGTGATGATGATGTTTATGATGATAATGATGCTGATGATGATGATGATGATGCCGATGATGATTATGCCAATTATGAACATGATTGTTGTTACGAAGGTGGTGATGGTGATGTTGATGGTCATGATTCGGCTGCTGATGTTGCTGCTGCTGTGTATCATTGTGGTGGTGCTGATGACGATGACGATGCTGATGATGATGCTGGATGATGATGTTGATGCTGCTGATGACGATGCTGATGATTGGGAGGAGGAGGAATGGGGGAGGACGGACGATGAGGGACATGTAGGAAATACGGGTGACAGCTGATCGTGATGATGTCGCTGGTGATGCTGGTGATGATGCTGATGATGCGGCTGAATACGATGAGGAGGAGGAGGAGGGAAAGGAGGGACAGTGAGGATCTATGGAGCACAGATGATCATGATGGCGCGGATGATTAATATGATGCGGATGATGTGGCTGCTGCTGAGGATGTTGATGTTGATATTGATGAAGATGAGGAGGGGAATGCTGATGCTGAGAATTACGATGGTGATGATGGTGCTGCTGCTGATGATGATGACGAGGGGGGTACATAGTATGATGATGGTTGCGACGATGACGATGGCGATGACGATGACGATGATACGTGTGATGCTCATGTTTGTGATTGTCAATGCTTTTCCCAACCCTCCGATGGGTTCTGGTTTCCAATCGAACTTCCCTTTCTCTAGCCTTCCACCTCCTCCTCCTCCCGCCTCCCTCCTCCTCTCTCTTCCCCTCTTCCCACTACTTTCTACCTGCCTCCTACCTCGCCGTGCCTGGGGCGCTGCGAAGTGTGACGCTGTCGCCTATTTCGAGGGCTGCTGGAGGTCCCAGCATAGTGTGCTCCCGCTGGGGATCCAGATTCTATCTTGCCATGCCTGGGGGGCTGCAATGTGTGACACTGTCGCCACTTTTGAGAGCTGCTGGGAGGTCCAGCGTAGTGGGGTCCCGCCGAGGCTTCAGATTACCCCTTGCCATTCCTTGGGGGCTGCGCAGTGTGAAACTTCTGCCCTTTCGTCGGGGGCCCTGGGGGTCCAGCATAGAGTGGTCCCGCCAGGGATTCAGATTAGACCTTGCCATCCTTGGGGGGCTGCGCAGAGTGAAGCTGTCGCCACTTTCCATGGTTGCTGGGAAGTCCAGCATAGTGGCCCTCCCCCCGGTGATTCAGACTAGACCTCGCCATTCCTGTGTGGCTGTGGACTGCGATACCGTCGCCGCTTTGGAGGGCTGCTGGGAGGGCCTGCGTAGCGAGTAGCGAACGCAGCCTCAAATTTGACCTCGCCATCCCTGAGAGGCAGCTAATAGCGGAACTGTAGCCACTTTCGAGGGCTGCTGGGACGGCCAGCGTAGTGGGTACCGAACGCAGACTCACATTAAACCTCGCTATTCCTGGGGGGCTGCGAATTGCGACACTGTCGCCACTTGCGAGGGCTGCTGGGAGGGCCAGCGTAGTGGGCACTTCTCAGCCCCTCTGCATCCCTATGTGGCGCTCTCCAGGACCACGCGGGTAGAGCACCTGCTGATGAAACGTGCCCCAGTCTCGATTTCCTTCCCGCGAGCCGCCCGCTGACATGGCGGCGCGCCTGCGGGCGTTCAGTTCCTTCACTGAATGATGCAGGCAATGAGGCTGGCGGGCGAACTTGGCTTCGCTCGTCTCTTCAACTAGTTATCAGCAGCTGACCTTTCTGTGCGCCAGAACAACGTGGCGTCGGCATTGCTGCTTAACAGCGAGCCACTTGAACACGTCGCGACCCTCCTTTCTCATCCATTCTCATTCGTTGCCGTCATGTTCATCCCTGCTGCTTTCCGCTGCTGCTTTCCATCCTCCGTCTCCCTGCTGCTTTCCGTCGTGCCTCCGCCCCCCTGCTGCTACCGCATCCCATGTAGCTTGCACAGCACATTGCAGGTCGTGCGTTGTCATTATTCATAACTATGTGAGCCAAGTGTTCGGCTCAACTGATGCAAATTGGTTGGGCACTTCGCGGGGCGATGTTTACTTGTCGTTGTTTAAGTGATGGTGGTGGTAATCCTGGTGACGATGTTGATGGCGATGGTGATGAGGACGCCAATGGCGATGGTGATGGCGACGGCGATGGCGATGGCGACGACGATGACGATGATGATGATGATGATGAGGATGATGCTGCTGCTGCTGCTGATGATGATGATGATGATGATGATGATGATAATGAAGATGATGATGATGATGATGATGATGATGATGATGATGATGATGATGATGATGATGATGATGATGATGATGATGATGATGATGAAGATGGTGATGATGATGATGATGATGATGATGATGATGATGATGATGATGATGATGATGATGATGATGATGATGATGATGACGTGGGTGGTGGTCATGGCGATGATGAACATGCTCACGGTGGTGATGGCGATATGATGACGGTGCGTCGGGTGTTGATGAGGATGACAACGATTAGGGTGATGAAAAAAGACGGTACAGGTTCGCGGACGCTTTTGCGATCATTGGGATTGGTGGTGTGATGCCGCTCGCACAGCTGTGCAAGCAGCGTGAATGCTTCATGCCGCCCAAAGCATGTCGCCTCCACTGCCCCCGCACGCACGGCGGAACTCTGCAGTTTAAGGCCTAACCCATTCGAAGAGGAGGAGGAAGAGCAGCAGGAGGATACTAGCTAGCTACGAGTGCGCCTCGGCGGAGCCGTCCACGCTCAGAAAACAAATGATGCCTCAAAAGGCTCCCTCTTTTGAATCCGCACGGATTCTGCATCCGACGGCGGAGAAATCTCCTCTTCGCGCCGGCGCGCCCCAAGCGTAGCAACCCAGCCTTCTTCCTCCCCAGAAAACCGAGACAAAACATCATGTAGTCTCGAGTTGGTGATCGTTTTCTTCTTCATTGTTTTGCCGATCGGCGCGGGCCTTCGCACCCCCTTTCCCCTCCCCCATTGAGTAGATCCTGGCTGTTTTTGGCGCCTGTTTCGAGCAGGTGTAGTCTCTCCCCCAAAAGACGCACTGTTGCAAACAGTCGCACTGAGCAGAGGTTCGGAGCCAGATCCCCCCTCGTCCCGTTTCGCCTAATGTCGAAACGCCGAATAAGAAATTATTCACTTGGCGGTTGGCGCGGGAGGTTGCGCCCGCTGGCGCTGTGGCCGCGGGCGGGCTCTGCCTCCTCGGC